ACAATACCGACAAGTGATTAATAAAAGTCAAAAGACCAAAGAGGTCACCTTAATACCAAAAAAAAAAAAAAAAGATTATATAAATGCCTATAACCTGTCAATCATATTGATATAATTATAGTTACAGGTATCTTATTTTAACTGATTAATAAAATATTATTGTTATAATACAAATATATTTTTTAAATTTTTATCTTTGATAAGTTTTAAACTTACAACTTAAAATTTAAAGAAGTAACAACTTATTTATTTCACTAAATTATTATATTCTTTAAACTGAATTATTTTAAAATAAAATATGCATATATAAAAATAAGTTTTTTTTTTAAAGTTAAAGTTTCTGTTTTTAAAAAATAATATTTTTATTTAAGTTATTTTTGAATACAGATACCTCTAGAAACATTTATACATAAAAAATTACAACTAGTTACATATGCATTTTTTGTATCTAATTTAAATAGTCTGTTTATATATTACTATACAAGTTTTATACTAAATATTATATTTGTAATTTAATTACAGATCTTGCTTATTTCAACTTTCTAAATATATAATCCAATTTGTATCATAATAATATCTTTAAAGCTATATCTATTTAAGTATCTAATATATTCAAAAATTTTTAAAATTACTTTATTTTTAACAAAAAATTTACTAAAATTTCTTATATCCTATATATAACTATTTTTAGTTTTATGCAACATGGTATAGTCAAACTAATGCTTATAGTTATAAGTATTTCTGTTAAACTATTATATTATACTATTTTTAATCTTGAAAAATTTACTAAAATTCTAGTATCTATTTTTTTAACATCTTTTCTGTTATCTTCTACTAACTGTTATTTAAAATTAACAAAACTTTTCAAACTACTAATTTAGATAATCTAATACAATATATATATATTTTTTAATTTCATACTGCATGGTTACTAGTAAGCTGTAGCTGGCAACTGTTTTATTAGTTCATATTTTAAGTTTATAGAACCTTCTATTAGGACTCTGTCTACATTTTACATTGTTTGTATACATTTATGATACTATCTATATACTAATTTTTGTGTTTCTATTATTCTGGAATTTCACCAGAATTATTCCTAATCAGGAAATTCTTTGTTCTATTATTATCCTCAGTTTTTTAATCATCACAGCCTTCTTATATCAGGTCCATCACCATTTAAGGATCTGGGTACCAAAGATCTTTCTATTTTTGTAATATGCTATCTGGTGTGGTTAATCCATAATCATAGTTTTAATACAGTTTATGTTTTCTGTTGGACTTGAACCAGCAACCTTGCGATTGGTGACCTGAAAATGTAATCATTTCACTATTGACCCACAGGTCAATACAATATATTTTAATATTCTTTTTATCTAAAAAATTTGACAGTCTAGTTGATTATATGTTTTTTATACATTTTATTATTTAGTTTATTTACTTATTTTTTGAAGATGTTTTATAAGCTTTCATTAGTCTAACAAGTCTGTTAAAAGTTCATGTTACTTCTTTATTTAGAAATTTTCAAATAAACTTTCAACTTTTAGTTTTTTTGTTTTTTATATCTGATGATCTTATTATAAATTTGTACTGAATTCTTATATAATATTAATTATTAACATTTTTTTATATTTATGTAACATTATATTTTTGTAAATACTTCAAGCTTTTATTTAAAATAATGCAACTAAAAGTTACAAACATATCAATTTAATTGATTATTAAAAGACAGTTATTATAATATAAATATAATTTTTAAATTTCATTATAGATAAAATTTAAACACTAGATCTGTTACTTAAAAAATGACAATTGCTTATTATATTAGAATTATTATTTTCTAAAAATGAATCTTTTTGCTTAATAATATTATATATATATATATATATTATTTATATAATATTTGAATAAAGATTTTATAAATATAGTATATAAAAACAATTTTCATACTAAAGATTTCAAACTATATTTGTGTTATTTAGTTAAAAATATATATTTTTTTTAATCTTTGGCAGCTATGATGGTCAACCAGTTAGAAGTTTATTTATAAATATTTAGTACAGACAATATACAAATAGAACTATATTTAATTCCATGTGCCATTATCATGCAGTTACCCAATTGGCACCTACGAGCAACCTGCTAAAGTCTGGATCAAGCTCATCTGTCTGCCACCCTACAATTGAACAGCACCAATCTAATACTATTCATTCATAGGAAGGTAAAAAACCCAAAAAAAAATTTTCTTGTTGAGAAGAAATGCATTAAAAAAATATATATATAAAGGAGAAACAAAAAAAAAACAAATATCAAGAAATAAAAAGGAAGGTGATTGCTGACAAAGGCCAGACAAACGGTCACTAATTATAAAAACTGTATCAGTCTACTAAAAATTATATGTTACTAAATATAGTAATCTCTACTTTAACTCTATCTAATTAACATATTTAATACTAAAGCTTATATCTTAAGGGAAACAATTCAACCAAAACTGAATTGGCAGAGAATTTTCCATATGCTGAACACCCTGACTCCTTGTCACTGGATCCATCTTCATGTACAACTCATTATATTTTTTACCAGATCTTATATTTCAGCACTTATCACATTTCTGACCAATCATCTCATTATTTGCTGAAAATCTTCAATCTTGTCTCATTGTTGTGTTTTTTTCAAGACACGTGTATTCATGTTTTATTTGCAACATGGGCCTTTTCTGAATAGAACTGATAAACAATCCTGATTTGGAAAGATCAACAATACCAATTTCGATAAGGGTAAACTAGATTATCCACTTTTCAATAAAAATTTCTTGGAAAAAAGTAGAAAAGGAATTTTTAAAACACCAACTGTAATAAGCATAGGAGTTTACATTATATAGAATAACATATTCAATCAAGCTTCTATCTTTGTTATTGCTCAGATATAACTTGACAAAACTTCCTTGGTTGTAGCCAAAGTTACTTTTTCAATAACTCTATAGACTTCTACCAAAGAGTCAAACCCACAAGAAACTGTCTTTTTCAACTCTTTTTCATATGACCCACATGCAATCTGAAACTCTTAAACCTAGACACTATATGACAAAGTTTTGTTGTATATAAATATACTAACTATATAATTTTCATAGGTCAGTATGTGTAGAAAAATTGGTGCAGAGGATCATCAGAAAGAGTATTAATCTGTTAGTTAAAAATATTATTTTTTAAAAATATTTAATATAACATACTTTTTATTTTTTAATAAGTGTTATAATTTATTATTTCAAATCAAGTTATAACTATAATAGATTGTAAAGACCAAAAGTGTTTGTATAAAGCAAGAAGTTAATAAATAACCTTAAAAAAACCATTTTTTAATAACAAAAAAATTGTTAGCAGTTTGATTTGTAGTTGAATTTGCATTAAACAATAAATTTATAATAGATGAAAAGAATTTGATATATTTGCTTTTGAAGGTAATGTAGTAAAGGCTTTTCATTAGTGCTGTGAATATACATTTATCATTATACTAAATTTACCCCAGAATATTATTTAATATAACCATTATAAGATAACTTTGTCATGATTGGTTAATTACATAAAATTTATAATTGATCAAATTGATAATGTAACAACTAACCAATAAAATTATGTATACAACCCATTAATATCATAATATAGGTATTATAATAAGCATACTTGTTAAAGAAAACAAAATTTATTATCTAAGATTAATGTTTTTAATAAGCATACCGTAATCTCTATCATAAACCAATACCATATGATTATAAACCGTATTCAAAATTTATTACAATATTATAAATAAAAAGGAACGAACGGCCTTCATGTATTAAATGTTTCTCATATTCTAAAACCCCTACTCGCAATCTAATAAAGTATTTTTATATAATAATAAAAGTTTGCTGTAGTTAGTTTATCCAAAAAACAACGGTTTTTTTAACGTATAGTAATTACATATAGATTAATAGTAATAGTATATAGTAGAAATTTTGCTTCTAAATAAAGTACCTCAAAATCTATGATTCTTTTTTATTCTTTTTGCATAGTTAGTGTTAGCAACTTTTCAAAGTTAGAGACGGTCTTGATTTTCATTTTTTATTTGTGCAATGTTATATTTTTAAAAAATATGATTCCGACAGTACGATTATAGAGATGTCAGACGGATCAGACCTCATTGAATTGTGTAACTTATCGGAATCGATTTCCTGATTTGGACAATCCCACTTTCAATTCACCACTACTACGTATAAACTACCAATGCTAAGCTTAGCCAAGCCGCAAGAACTTAATCGGCTTGAACACTATATAGTTAAATGTATAATTCTGACCGCATCCGGAAGTTTAATAATTTAGACGCTAGGGTTTGGAAGCAGATGGCAACTGTCAGGCGTGTTTCGCCGCCGTCTCGTGTGCGACAGAGGAAACTGGGAAACCTTCCAATTTCAAATTATCCTTAGATTGTTTGGCACGCGGCCTCAAATTTTTTCTTTTCCCAATGAAAAAAATAAACGTGATCTACGCATCATTTGTCGTGGGCTGTTTCACTGCTACATATTGAACGAGTTTGATTTTCTATTGATCCTGTTTAGGTACATGTGCGCGATCCAGATCGTCATGCCGTTCGTTCTTAACGTTGTTCTAATAATTTGATTGCAAATATATTAACTTTATATATCAACATAGTATTTATTATCTCTTATATTATATGATGAAGACAATAAATGTATATTTCATACAGCTATCCCTGTAAAAATTATTATGAATCAATAGTTATTTAATTAATCAAGGGAAAATAATGCTTTCCGAAAATATTATACGAAATTCCTATACCTAAATTGGATAATTTACCCGTCATCTACATTAATTGTGTAATCTCATTATGCCAGATAAAAAGCGCGTATATATATAAATATGTGGATGCTCCTTGGTTTTTGGCTGTACTTTTGATAAAACTATATCGATATATGTTAACATTCCATCATTTTCGGTAAAATAATAACAATGAATACGTATGAAACGGGACAATTTTCCAGCGATTTTTTTCAACCAACACCTGTCGCCTTCAAACAAGCTGATAATGAAATGCAGACTCTACTATCAAGTGATGGTTGGTTCTTTCGGCTGCCTGAGTATGGTCACGTGATAACCAATAGCGAAATGGTGAGCCGCATAGTGCAATATTACGAGGTACGTACGTACAAATCAGGGCCAGTGGATTTTAATAGTAACAAAAATAGCACTAGCGATATCACGACAACCACATAACCCAATCTGACCGAAATTGTTTTATTTTAATTCTACAAATCTATAGAATTTAAATAAACCAATTTTGATCAGAGTTGGTTATGTGGTTGTCGTGATATCGCTAGTGCTATTTTTGCTACTATTAAAATCCACTGGCTCTGGTACAAATATGACGCTCTAGTGAAATAATATCAATTTATATTATACATTTTTACTTTGTATAGATGTTCGCTGTCAATGTGTTTCTTTTAGGATACAATGTTCTTAAAAATGCCAAAGCCGCTGTTTCAACTTCTACTTATGATATTGTGTTGTTTGATGCATGCACTGATCGTTTTGTTATAGAACAATTTGATTTTTGTGCTGCTTCTAGACTAATATGGGGGTTAATTGGAGGTGCAATTGTCTACTTTGTATTCACATCCCTTGTGGCACTTGCTTTATACTTTGAACTTCGAAGAAAAGGATATGATGCTTTATTCACAGCATTGTGGCATTCACCAATGTTTTTGGTATGTTATTTTTACCCACCAAATAAACGAGTTGACGTTTTAAGCATACCAAACAAATATGTCGGATTAAGCTTGTGGACGAGATCACAAATACATCGAATTTCTTTGGCATTATATTGCTTAATATGTACTGTTTTGGTATTTAATTCTTTATTTCGTGGGTAAGTTGAATCGTATTTTTTTAAAAATTTTTTTGATGACATTTATCTCACGAATACTCATTTGTCTATTTTAGTACTGCGGAAAATTCTAAAATTGAGGGTGAAGGGCTTGATACAGGGTATAAAAAATGTATGTTTCATGCTTAATCATCGTTGCTAATCAAATTGAAATCAGATTAAGGGCGCTTTCAAGCAAAATTTCGGTTCTTCTCCTGAGTAGATATTATAATGGATCAGGTATACATATTTACGTAATTGTCTTCAATTATTTCCCCGCATATTATAATTGTCCTTTTGATTCATGAGACAAACCATGAAACACTCATGAGTAATCCATGGAATGTACTACTAACAATGATTAGACAATGGATATCTGCTCAGGAGAAGGTCCGAATCTTGAAAAAGCCCTAAAATAAAAAGGGTCTCATTTAAGACCAAAAATTCACTTACATTCTTCTACTAACTTTAAACATAATTAAAACTAAGAAAGTGCATCTACAAAATTTTATAAAACGCATAATTTCAATTGAAATGAGGCAACTTGTTATTTTAATCTGATACAATTATTACTGAATATTACTGTGTTTATATTAACTATATTAATTCTTTATACTCAATCTATCGTTTTAGATTACAATCCGTATTTAATCCCATATTACTTGGCTCTTTACATTTTTGTAAAGACTTTATCAGAAATGCTTATTACTATAATTCAAGATAAGAATCTTAGAAATAGACCAGAAAGAATAGGAAGATATTATTTGTCTATTAAACAATATGAATAATTAATTAAATAGCTTCCTAAACCATTGTGAGGTTATCAACTAGCCAGACCATGATTATAAATCAAGATGATTGGTCAAAGTATATGTACTATTGTTATACGAAACTCAATTTGCGGTTAGCTATATTATACATCTATATATTAACAAAATATTTTTTGAATATAAACGATAGGTTATCGAGTTTGAATTATGAAATAAATATGGTGGATTAATTTTTTATTATATATGTGTAGTAATAAATAAATCAATTTTAAATTGATAAAAAACAATTATATTTTTTAAAAACTATATTATTAAATGTATATTTTTAAAACTATATCATTTAATATATGTTTTAAAAATTATATTATATTAAACAGGTCAAAAAAATTAATAAAAAATGAATAATAATTAAATAATAAAATAAAATCTTTCATTATATCTGTCAAATAATAGTAGCATAACAGCAGAATAACAGTAAAATAACAGAAGGTTTGTCAATATTGATAACATAATAGTAACATATTAGCAAAATAATAAAACATTATTTTACTTTTAGTCTTTGTAGCTAAAAGTAAATAGAAATGTTCTATTATTTTGTTGATATGTTACTACGTATCATGTTATCAATATCAACAAACCTTCTGTTATTTTACTATTATTCTGCTATAATTTCTAACTCTAATACATATATAATATATAAATAATATAGTATACTATATTAGTTTGCTTTTCTATTATATTTATATTGGTTAAAAAACCCCAGTTTTAAGTATAAAGTTTGGTTTGAACCAGACTAAATTGTAACTAGTTTGATGAATCAGTTTATAAACCTTGCTTTAATTTATAATTTGATAGTTAACCCTAATTTTTTAAACCAAAACCAAACCAAACTATAACGATCCTAGAATCAAAACACATTAATTTTTATAAACATAATGATTTGTGTCTACTGGTTGCAAATATAAAAGCATATTTGGTAATAGATAGTCTGTTAAGACTGCTAAATTTTTTGTTAAAAAAACATTTTACTATACTATAACAAGTTTGTAAAAAAAATTTTTGTTAGTAACTAACTTTTACCATCCCTATTTACGATGTATTCCTTGAATGCTTCCAAAGATTCCTGAAATATTTTAATGCGAAGATTGGTGAGAATCTAATAAATTTACTTACAAATTTCATCCACCTTACCTTGTAAATAGCTTTTAAAGGATCCAGTTTGGAAGATTTAATATAGACATTTTTAATTTTATCCAAATGGCCAGCCTTTCTTAACATATTTTTGAAGTGCCGGACCTTTGAAATATATATCTCATTAAGTTTGATTATAACAATATTTGGAATATTTTAAAGAAAATACCTCTTGAGTCTCAACAATGCTATATGCATCACCTTTGCGTCCGGCTCTCGCTGTCCTTCCGACACGATGAACATATTTTTTCATATAAATAGGAACGTCATAGTTTATTACTGTGTCTACACGATCAATGTCTATACCACGAGCGATCAAATCAGAGCAGATAAGTCTAATATAATAAATATTGAACTAAAATTAGTAAATTAGTAATGAAAATTCGGATCTCTTACAGTATAGTTGACCTCTTCAATAACATGTATTATTAATAAATTGCTTATATAAAATATGATCACCTATGCTGCACGAGATCCGAGGTTTTTTTTACATCATAATAACTTTATCTAACTAACAATTGAATTTCACCATTCTTGAATTTGTTTAAAATGCTTCTTCTCTCCTCTTGTGATAAGTCACTTGAATACTCGGCTACAACTATTGATCTAGTAAAATCATTATTGTCCGATTGTTCGTTTTCTATTTGTATGTCATTCATTTTGATTTCATTTATTTCTTTTTTCAATGTTTGCACATATAGCATCTCAAATATCCTAATCAATTCGGAAAGCCTGTGAGCCGAGTTCACCGATTTAGTAAAACAAAGTGCAGATGATATATGGAGGTTGTGAAGTAAATGAAGAATCACAAGAGGCTTTTCAGATGAAGTGGATGCAATCATATATTCCTAAAATTAGTGTAAGCATATATGTTTAGAATAAGTGCAAATCACATCAAAGAAAAACGCTTTATAAAATTTACGTTTAAGCTACTAGGCAGAACATATTTAATTTCGCCCTCGGTTTTGTCCATTGATTGAATAGAAATGTATCGTGGATTGACCAAATGTAAGCTTGCAATCTTAGCAGGATTTCGCGTTAGAGTCGCCGAAAATAGAAGCTTTTGAATCTTTGTAATTTTTATTGTAAACATTATTGAGATTTTAAAGTACATGATCATATCATAAGATGTTATATTTACAGCTGATGTTTTAGGTTCTGAAATGTCCACTTTCGGAACGTGCAAGAACGACTCCATCATTAGAGCAGAAATAGTATCGTTTATGGGCACACTTGTAAATGTCAACAAAAAGTACATATGAATTGTTGGTAGTAACAAATCGGCCAAATCAAAATAAATTATTTACCCCAAGGAATCATATTTAATTTCCACTGACTTTTTACTACTCGGATTTACAGTAACTTGTTGTAACTGTGTAGACTTAAGTATGTGCGACAACCAATCATGATAACTTTGGTTAAGCAAGCGATCAGCTTCATCTATAATCTTATTAAATAACAAGACATATTTTATGTTTAAATAAAATAGAAAAAAAAATACTATCATTTAAATCTACAAACCAAAAATCGTAAATGCTGCAGAGTAAAATTTGGAGTAGTTGAAAGATGCTCGATCAACCGACCAGGCGTGGCAACTAATATGTCAACTTTGCTTTTACCACCTATGAAACTGTCAGTACATAAATATATGACTAGTCTCTAGCAATTGCTCATAAAATATGGCAACATTTTACTTACTGGCCTTGTAAATCGCCAACGATTTGATCCTGTTCTTGAATGAATGATTGTTGACCTGTAACCATTCCAACCTTTTATTCCTAAATTATTAAGTAAATCAATCTAGGTGTAATAAAGAGATTTATGAATAATATTCCAACCTTCAAACTCGTGCCTTTACAAAAAGCATCGAATGTTTCTTTAACTTGTACTACTAAATCTCTTGTAGGAAGAATAACGAGAACTCTCAAGCGAGTTACAATACGCTTTGAGAGAATCTATATGTAATTGTATGATAATTTAATAAATTGATACAAACTATTTATTTACAAAACAAAACGCATATTACAAACATCAATTATTGGTAGCACGTATGCCAGAGTTTTGCCGCTGCCCGTCGGAGCAGATACACAAATATCACCAGGCGATTTATGAGTATCTGATAGATTTCGTGAGTGTAACAGCAGTGGAATGACTGCTGTTTGTACTGCAGATACGAGAAAAAAAATATGAACTGATGAACAGATAATAATGAGTTATTTCTTCGATTATAAATGTCTAAGTTATAAACCTGCAAAACACTCCTGAATTCCAAGTGCTTTACAACGTTTGATCGATCTTTCTGATAAACCAATAGATGGATGATCAATTGTTTTAGTTGAATCTGACTCAACAATGATTGGATTAGCCAACCAGTCCGGTATACCCAACGATTTAACGGCTGCAATTTCTTGTGGTGTTTGTTTTGGTCTATCGAATGTTGGAAACGCTTGTAACACAGGAAGGTTTTTTGTAATTTTTTCCTGTTGTTGCAAAGATAAATCACCATGCGTATTTTTCGATATTTGTTCGGTAGAAGCAACCTTTTGGATAGAGCCATCCTTTCTGCTTATTTCCTTTTTAGTTGAGCCACCTTCTTGACTTCCATCAACTTGTTGTGTTTGATTACTTTTTATGGATCGTTTCCTTTTAAGTTGAAAACGTTCATTGATCTTTGATAATCTCTCAGTGCTCGCAGTAGAAACATCTTGAAGCGGTTCTTGTTCAATTTCGTATCTTTGTATTTGGAACATTACGGGCGACGGATTGATTGAATCGACAATTAATATTCGAATAATAGCTTCAGCCCATATAAAAAACAATCAGTTAGTGTATTGTACAATAAATTCACTACATACAAGCAGAAAAGTTCTCAGAATTATCATTAAGATTCCACCATTACTCCACATTCATTACACCTAAGTACATGAATTCACAATAGATGACATCTTCTCAGACTTGAGTGATATTTCATATGAGTAATCTTAATAAAGTTCCAACATGATTACGATGGTTTATAAAAATAAAACCAGTGCTAATAAACTTGTGGCAACCATATTTGTAGTCGATCTACCCATCATTTTAACAATGCTTTGAGAGATGCTTTGATTCGACAAATCTTAGAAAGGGTATATATTTCGATAGCCTCGCCACTAGAAAAATCGTATTATGTGAGGATTGCGAATTTGTACGAATCGACGTAGTCCTTTCTTGTGGATACTTGATACAAGTTTCGCTTGCCAATTTAATACATTCCTATCAATAACTATCGATAACGTACCCGCCCACATAATAAATATTAATTAGTATATATTTAAAAGAAGGTCCGTTCTTGATAAGGGTGTACGAAATTGGTATGCGAAACCTGCAAAAAGGAAAAGACTTGGAACTCGTTCATAAATGTAATGTTTGGCGTAGTGGTGAAAGAGGTGACTAGAAGCCGAATTCGACTTCAAATTTGCATTTGTGTTCGAATTTAAATGTAGGATGTTGAGCCTTTAAATTTGAATCCAACCTCCAGTAATGGTATATCTGAAACATTATAAAGTCGCATTCACCCAATAAATGAAAGGTTATAAGTTTACCTTTGGGATACCGGCGACGAAGAATACGCGAACACCGAAGATTGATGTGAAAAAAAGTTATCTGTTTATCATTGTGTCACCCTAACATTTATTAGATAATCATATAATGATAAAAGATCAGGAAAACCAATCTTTCTTAACGTACTTAGATAAAATGCGCGAAGAAACAAAGGTTTGTTTCCTATAAATATTTTTCAAGTACAAGGCATAAATATGTCCCGTCCGTTTCGTATTTATTTCTTTTTTATATAGGAAAAAATAATAAAAGCATTAGAAATCGCCAAAACAATTGTGCATTGGGGTTTTATTCCGTTTATATTATATCTTGGTAAATTTTATTCTACTCTCATTCTAATAGTGCTTTTAAAAGACGATTTCTCATTTATTTTAATACAATAGGGTTTACCAGGAGTAATCCAAAACCTTCTCTGATTAGGTAAAACTACTGAAGGAGCTATTTCACTTTTTTTATATTAAGTAATTCACATTCTTTATATTAAGTAATTCACACATTCCATTTTTTTTTATAGGATGATCCCTTTAGCAGCTTAACCACTTAGAGTTTAGAACCGAGTTATAGTAAACCGGGTCACCCTGCCAAAACGGTTCAACCGGGTCAAAATTTTATAACTCCTGTTGAATATGTAACCTTTAAAATCTGTTACTATTACTAGTCAGGGAATATGTTACACTTATTGATATATAAGTTTTGTTTTATAATAAAAACTATAATAAAAACATATAAATTTATTATAAACTTTAAGCTTTACATTATTTTTAATTTACATATTAATTTAATAAGCAATTAGATAAGAAACAAATTTCTAAAAAAAAAAATGAATTTTCTTATTTAATAATATAAAAAGCCTGTCAATAAAATTTCTGCCTGGATATTATTAAATTACCAGGTAATTTATTATATCCGTATAATAAAAATGTCTATCTGAGTACAATCTCTACTTATATATGAGAATTTGTCTTTTTATTTTTTCAAGATTCTTATAAATATAACCTATTATATTTTATAAAATAGAAAGTTTTCAGTATTAATATTTGAATTAAACATATTAATGTAATCTTCATAAACTATTTTGTTTTGATTAAATGCTAAAATTTCTAAATTTTCACAATTAGGTTTTAGTATAAATAATAGTATATACTGAATATTCAAGTCTAAGTTTAATAAGCTTATTGTTAATTAGTGATTCATATTCTTGAATTTCTACTTATACACTTGATCTTTAATTTAACAATCATTTATCAACTATAATAAAAAATGACTATTTGAGCAATAAAAAGCTTTTTAGTTTAAAATATGATTTGTTTTTAAAGAATATATAATAGTAATTTCTTTTATAAAACCGTAAATACCTTATTTACATATTATATTTAACAATATCACATTCAATCTAAACTTGTAACCGTAGTTTACCCGTAGCTTGCTTTTATCGGACCATATTTAAGAGAAAATTTGAAAGGTAAGTAAAATTCTAACGGTTTCACTATATAAAGACGACTTTCGTTAAACATCTTGCTTTTACAAAATTAAAAAATACTAGATATTACGGGAGAAATTAGAGGCGACATGAAGTCTATTTTTTATAATCTTTAAACATTGCGTGCAAAAAATCTTGATTAATGATTATCACTATATCACTTGTAGTATATTTGTAATTAGACTGATATGGGACCCCAATGGTTCATGTTTATCTATCTGCTACCTTCTTTGTACTGTCACGAGTTGAATTTAACGTATATATAATAATAATAAACAACGATAACTTTAAAGAGGCTTAAGTGTTTGCAATTGTACTAAGCCTTCTATATTGTCACTCATCTTTGTTGTTTTTCATGACTCGTCTTTTTCAACGACCTTCGACTGATAAGTCCCATGTACTATCCAAGCCTCCAAAAGTTTAACGATGAGGTGCTGTTTGTCCTGATTCTTCGGAATATCACTTTTAACCCATAAAAATTCATATATACACTTAAACCGAAACATTGTCTATCCAACAAATTATAAAGATTCGATTAATACGCAATATACAATATAAGAGACCATTATAAAGTCGATTATATGGACTGTGTTATTAAATTAATAAAAAAAAAATTTTTGAAGAAAATTGAATTTTATCTTATAAATTCTATAATAAATTATATATAAGAAAATATAAACTTTAAAGAACTGTGCTGCAAAATTTTATTAAGGTAACAGAATTTGTTTATTAAGTAAAAAAATGTTTCTATGCTAATTTTGGTTTAGTTAAACTTGAAACAATTATCAATTTGCTTTTCTCAGAACACAGTATAACAATAGCTTTTTTTTTTTAGGATTCAGACTTACAATCAACGTCGTGATTGTCTTTTTTTCCCGTTATTAATGCTTATAAGTAACATTACATTCTCAATAAGTACTTTACAGTATATAAAATAAGTTCGAACAATTGATTACATCAGCCAATCAGATTTGACTCATTATTCAATTGTTTTATAAATATTTTTATATAAAAAAAAGGAAATATATAAATTACCAATTAAAAAATAACGATTTTTAAAGATTTTCTAGTATACACAAAACTTTTTATTATAATACGTATATACAGTGTTGTACATTTTCGCTGTCCCAAGTTGTTTTGCTATGTCAAAACGTCTCAACGTCCCAGTGTTCCAAAGTGTCCCAATTATGTCCTGAGTCTTAATAATTAATATAGTGCAAGACATCTATGCTCAACAGTTACACGAAGTGTTTCAATTTTTCAAATGGCTATAACCTTTTATCTAAAAAAAAATTGACCGGTAAGAGCTATATCAGCTCTATAAAGATGTTTTTTTAAAACCTCTTAGATAAAAGGTTATAGCCATTTGAAAAATTGAAAATATAATTATATATTTTTTTTAGGTACTGAACATGGGTTTAAAGAAATTAAAATAGATTATCTTAATAATATTTTGAGTATTTCCAACTTATAATTGTCTCAAAATGTTCCAAAACGTCCATGTATAATATTGCGTATATGTATTTGATTAGTTTATTAGATCTTGTAATTAGTTGGTTAAGCAAAATAAATCTTTTTTCTAAATTGTTTTACAAACTTTGAAAGTATCTCAATAATATCCTATTTATTTGGATATATTAAAAATCTACCAACTAGTATGATTCAAAACTAACTCTAAACATCAAATTAACCAGGTTTATATTGAGAAATATATATTAGTTTAAGATTTAGAAAACATTGACTATTAGAAATTTGATGGCAATTGAATATGACATAATTTTTAACTAACCACAGGCTTGTATATTGATATTAAATTCTAGATTTCTGATTTTCAGATTTATGCATGGTGTGTAATGCATGAAATCTGGGGTCATGCTAATTTGAAAAGAGCTATAATAAAGATGGAACTGCCAAAAAACAAGATTTAAATTTTTTAGGTAACATTATCTTCGCATATGAGACCGTTATGCGTAGATATTCTCTTTAAATGAAGAAGTGGACATTAGTATCGTGATTGCTCCTTCCATGAAAAACCATTTGTCCCTGTCGCATTACACCCCATTTTCGTTTGCCATAAACATTTACTCCAATGACAAGGTCACATTCTAAGTTTCTTATCCATAAACCTCTATTACACACTTCCTATCCTTAATCCAAATCCACTAAAGTGTGGTACACGGGTGGGACAAAATCTAAGAAGCCGACGAAGAACCCAAATGGCAAGAGGGACAAACAAGTTTGAATGCATCGACCTCATTTCCATTAAAAAAAGCCTTGATTCTAGAAAAATGACATGGCAAGCAGAATGTGAAAAGACAATAAATATAGTTATAATCTCCCATTCGTGCTTTTTCTTATAGCAAGAATGTATAGTGATAGTACTAAACAAATAATCCTATAGAAAGGTTTCACAAAAAAACATGCCTAATTTCGATTGATTTGTACCACGAACTTTGTTCTTAAAATATGCGGAATTTGTATGCGATAGCTGAATTTGTACGTACATACTTGAATATCTACTTAACGTGTACTCATAACCATGGTAAAGGTATTAGTACTAGGTGCTTCGGGATACATAGGAAATGCTGTAGCTCAGGCATTTGCGAGGTCAGGTCATGAAGTCTTTGGTTTAGTTCGTAAACCTGAAAAAGTAAATATGCTGGCTAGGGATGAAAGTATACTTTATCAAATTTTTTCTGTTTTTAAAATTATAAATTTTTCCTTTAATTTTGACTAATGACATTTTTCTTATTTGCACAAGTATTTCCAATTTTAGGTGATGTTAATAATTTACCTACTTGGATGCCAACAGCAGAAAGATGTGACATCATAATCGATGCAACCTCTGAACTTAAAGAACCTGTAAAACTTGTTAACTCCATTTTGAATGCCTGTAACGAAATTTCTAAAAAACGGGTTGAAGCTGGTGGTGGTAAATTGACACTTATTTATACTTCTGGACTTTGGGTATGTGTTCTTTATTAGACATTGGCTAGTGATGTCAACTTAATTAATTTCAATAAATAAAATAGCTTTTGCGCAAAAATATTTTAGTTATAGTAATTGCAATATACCATAATTCAATAAAATTCTATACAGCAATAGCAATAGCGAATTGAGTATTAATCATAATTCATTGCTGTATATTTAAATACATAGTACTTGTATTTACTATAATTATCTATTTGTATATGCTTAGTGTTGATATCAATAATATTGACAAAGTTCTTAAGACAATATTTTTTACTTTAATTATTTATTTTAATTTGATACATTAAAAGATCTATGGTGGTGATCCGTTTTCAATAAAATCAGAACAAACTCCTCTTCAAACCGACCCCCAAAATATCGACATTTGGCGCCCTGGATGTGAACAAAAAATTTTAAACTCACATTATATTAACAGTATAATAATTCGCCCTGGTCCTGTATATGGTAAAAGTGGTTCCTTAACTGGTGATATGTTTAAAGCTGCAGTTGAAGGAAGGTTAGAAGGTATTGGTAATAGAAATATTAGATGGGCTTTGGTTCACGTTGATGATTTAGGTGAGTTTGAAATATGAAACGATAATGTGCTAAGGTTTGCAAAATAGCTTAATTTTATACTTAATGTAGCTGATTCATACGTGCAAGCAGCTGAACGTGCAGAAATTGTTAAAGGGCAAATTTTTCTTATTGCAAACAATTCAACTGAATCAATGGGTGACATGTTGACTGCGATTGCTCGAGTTACAGGATTTAAAGGTTCGTCATTTTTTAATATGTACTTAACACATATTAAGAAATAACAATAAAAAATATTATATTAATAGGCGAAATAATATTTCGAGAACCTACAACGGATTTTGAAGTAGCATTGACACATACTGGGATTTTTACAAATTGTAAATCACAGACTCTACTTGGTTGGCGTCAAAAAAAATTGGGTTTCGTTGACGGAATTGAAATATGGTGGAATAGTTTTAAAGGCTGGAACAAATTGTAATATTAAAAATATGAGTTACCATCAAATAAATTAAGGAATCGCTTATGCTGAGACTTTGAGTCTTTCCATTTATATTATGTATATACCTACTATTTTATAAAAAAACTACCTTAAATCTAGGGTTGGACGCACGAGAAAAAAATTTGGGTACCCTTCTATATATACCAAGTACTATACCGTTAGATCTAGTTACTATAAGAATCTTTTTAAAAATTATAAGATTTTTAAAAAAAAATTCAAAATCATAGATAAGATAGCTTCTATATTCTAATTATCTTATTTTTAGCTCTAATCTTGAAATTGATAGGCTGTTATACAAAATGTTTAGATATATTCTTAAGGTAGCTGCTAGATCTTGTAGCCAATCAGCATACTCCAATTACATATAATTAAAATTTATAATTACATGATTGGGTCACCCAGCCTAACTCTAAAAAAAGATAACATAAAAGACCCAAAAATTTTTATCAAACTAGGTTAAAATCCTGGCTGTAACATTAATTGTTTCGTTGTTCATTTCGTTATTACTGTATACTAGAGAGGTGATTGATAACCTCAACAGATATAACTCAAACAGATATAAGCAATCCCTTTCCAGAAACTCCTCCAAATATTTCAAAAGCTCCATAAAAAAGAAAGAGCTTTCTTATGAAGACTAAGATCTTCAAAAAATAATAATCTTCTGATATTACGAAGTACATATTTCTTTTTTCTTTTTTTTTCGACAGCCAATATTGATCAAATTATAAATCATTTTATTTAGTTACATCGTAACTAATTTTGAATAGCTGAAATAGTTTCGACCGCATGTATGTACTATACTCTGATTGCGTTAATAATCAATAAACCCTTGCTATTGCATATATTTCGTTTGCTTTCACTTCAACGTCGAATTTTACAACGATATTTATTATACTAGTATTCTGCTTTAGCATTTTTCTTTAACTGCTAAAAGATTATCTAATTTCAAAGTATTTAATCAATAATGGGACAAAAAAGAACGATTTTTTTTAATCAATTTGATTTTCTTATTAGATACCAAAATTTTGACATTGCCATGAATGAATTATAACTAATTATTTTACATTCATGATACACATCACGTAAATAACTTTTCTTTGCTTATATACTTGTATTTAATTAAAAGATTAGAAATACTGCAGTACTATAAAAGAGTAAAAAACAAGATAGATTTTGGGCTTAATAAAATTATTTATTCTTTATACTTTGTAAGTTCGTAAGTCTTAATTAACCGAATTAAATCACAATAAATTATGTTTTATCATAATTATAATATGCCTTACAAAAAGTTTCACCTGTAATCTCACCAACAGTTTTAGATAGTTTTGGCAAACTCTCATACTACAGAGAACCTTACCTACATATTTAACAAAATTAGAATATATCTAAGAGCCTTATCATTATAGGTAGTACAGATCGAAGGTCACGCTAACGCTAAAGGTGCCTTTACAGAAATGCGCAGTAATAAATTACAACGTTCCCTGTGTTAATTTTACCATTTTGCGAGCCTATTTCTCTAAAAAATTTCATTTTTGGAATGAAAAAAAAAAATCAATTCCGGCCAAAAATTATGTAAATAATTATGTAATGCGGGCCAAAATTTTGTAGATTACGGCAGTTAGCCAGAATTTTTAGTTGTCGCAGAAAATCATTATCAGCCAATCAAAATAGCAAATTTAATATTTTTATATAAAGAGAAAAAAAAATTATCTGATTAAAAAAAAAAATATTTGCGTTAAGCGTATTGTATCTCCTTTGTGAGTTAAATCGTTACTTGCGCACACAAATAATTTTTTTTATTATTAAAAATGTCTGACAACGAACTTGCCATTGTTTACGCTGCCCTCATCCTTGCCGATGACGGGGTTGAGATCACCGTAGGTGTTGATTGCGTAGGATTTTTTTTTTAATAGATTCTAAAATTATTACAATATTTCTAATTGGAATTCAGGCTGAGAAATTACAAACTTTGACGAAAACTGCAGGTATCGATGTTGAACCTGTTTGGGCTAATTTGTTTGCTAAAGCCCTTGAAGGAAAAAACGTTAGTGACCTATTGATGAATGTTGGATCTGGTTTGTACTTTATTTTTATATATTAATATTTTTTCAATGTTAACTATTAATAATTATACACTCTTTTTAAAGGTGGTGGTGCACCTGCTGCTGGTGGTGCACCTGTTGCTGCTGCTGCTGCTGCTGAAGAAAAACCTCAAGAAGAGGAGAAACCAGCGGATGGAGGAGAATCATCGGACGAAGATATGGGACTAGGTATGTTTTTTATAACACTTTACGAATCACTTTATGAATTTAGATTTGAATCATAGATTGATACACTATTTTTTTTAATACATAGGTCTTTTCGATTAAAAAAGTGTACCTTTATATCAAAAAATATGGACTAAGATTTTGATTGGCTGTATTTTAATATTAATTTAATTAAAAAATCCTTTTGGTTAAATTTAATATAAAGAGTAAACTATTTGTTAGATGCAATAGCAGTCGCTTAACACCTGCATTATGTAAAATCTGCGAAATCACAGAAAATCAACGGATTTTAGCAGATTTTTTAATTCTCCGGCAATTTTAAAGATTTCAAATAAATATTGACGTTATTGATTATAGCGCTTTGCAAAAAGATGTAGCCACATGATTTTGTGATGATCGGATCTTTCCTAATATCGCCACCAAAATGTTGCAGTCACGTGAGGACCGAAAATTCTTTAAAGTTCGTTTAGGTTAGGGTGTATGCTAATGTTAAAGGTTAGAGACAGTATCAGAACTTATCCGCACATGTGATAATTGACCAATAATTCAATTATGACCAATATAACGTAACATGATCAAGAATAACTTAAAAAAATTTGACCGTTTTTAAAATCATTCATAACTCAAAAATTTACATAACAAGCCGATTTTTATGCTCTACCAAAAATTTTGTCCTTGTTAAATTTTACTGTGTAGTGGTAATTCTTTCATAATAATCTTAAAGTTTGTCACAAATTTAATAAACAATAAGAAATGCATTGATTATCACGTGTACGGACAACCTCCCTACACGCTGGGTCTTTCAAGGTTAGAGGAAGTTTAATAGTAAAATCGTTCGAGAATTTTTTTGTTAGTGCACTAAAGGTGGTTTCCTATGTAAAATGTTCGAGTTATGGGTGATTTTGACAAAGCGAACGTTTGTTTTGAATTTTCTCGATTGTGTAACGGTACATCTGATCTTGAAACTGAATCGATCGATGTTATTATTAAAAATCGAGGAAAAACTTGATCGACTGTGATCTGTGATCTCTGCAGATCACGATGTCATGTGAGAATCGATTTTGTACATGACGATTATCGATTATACAATAGTAAGTTAGGATTCTTTAATAATTCAATTAACCAATACTGCAATAAATATCGATATCGATATTACTACGTAAATGCATAGTATAAACCTGTATTTGTAAAGAACGAATCTTAAAAGTGCACTATATATAATTTTATGAAAGCTCACACAAGTAAATCAAATAAATTTATTTTAAAAAAAAAAACCTATGAAACGATATTTATGGTTTTAAAATCATTCAAAACTCAAAATAATCACTATAAATCTTTTTCAAGTTTTTTTTTTTTGATTACATGAAAGTTACTTCTATAAATTTTAATAACAATGCCTTTTACTTATCAATTCAATACCGATCCTTGAATAATAATAATGTCTAACTTGATACAATTTATTAGACAACCTACAATTGCAGATTTGGGATAATGAGTTATATTAAATTGTGAAAGGTTGGATGTATCAAACTGCATCGGTATTCTTATTATCTTGGACATGGAAACTTTTTTTAATTGTATCCTGTTCTTCAAAAGGTTTAATATCAAAAAATTCCTTCATTACTGAATCGATTTTTCAGAAAATTATCTCTTGGCAACGCTAATTTGTATGACCAAGAAATAAAATTCAAAGAGAGGTACTAAAAATGTTTTTTCCATTCTGCAATAAAATTGCTACGCGACATTATCGCGCAAAACCAAGAAAGTTGTTTTTTTGTTGTCTGGTACTGTGTATTCTAAATTTTTATCAAACAATAAATCACAAAATCTTTGAAACTTTAAATTCTAATAATAAAAAAAAATTCTAGCATTAAGCCCTGACTATTCAGACAAGTTCGGTTTTTATTTTAGCACTTTTTTGTGAATGCTGCCAAATTAAGACCAGGAACTGGACTTAGGTATTTACTATGATCAGTTATTGGTTCTAATTTGACGACACTCGGTGAAATAATGCTATTCTACATACTTTAAAAAAACTTTAGATATCAATTATTGATTTATTTTTTTTCCCGTTTTCTCTTATTTGACTTGGCTTTGGCATTAGATTCATCATCTAAAGTTTTTATCAAACTAGTAACATCGCAACCAAGTTCTTTCAAAATAAATCTAGACCCTGATTTTACATCTTTTAGAGCTGCTTGTTCAATTCCTGTCAAATTCTTTATCAAAATCTTCCTAACTTCGGATCCAGTCTCTTTATCTTGTAATAAAGCTAATATTACAAATGATGCAGAAGCATTACAAGCATAAAATATAATATCTTTTTTGATGCTGTCAAATAATAATGGTGCAAAATGTAGTTCAACTCGTTTATCTTCGGATTGCCTATTATCCAATCTTTGATACTGGCCTTGTATCAAAATTTTGAGGAATCGATTTGCATATGTCAGCATAATATTATTTTCATTTGATGTTTCTCCTATTAAAGGAGGTATATTTTCTAATATTGATCGTTTTTCTTCAATATTTGCATCACCGCAAAGTAGTGTCTCACAAAAGATCTGTGTCATATAGGTATTTGAAAGCATTTCTACAGTATTTTCCTTTGCATAATTAATTAATGCAGGGGATATAGCCTTTCGCAATTCATTTGTACGAACAATTGGATCTTTTTTACTATATAGAAAATTCAAATTCAATAGTTAGATATAATATTAATCTAAACAGAAGAAATTATTAAATAAAATATGTAATAATTAACCTAGTTTTTGCTCGTACTTCATCATCCTTTTCAAGTAATTGAAATGTCTCAAAGCTTAAATACATTTTAGCCCTTGTTCTTCCAGTCAACAGATACAAAATTACACGATGACCAAATTTATCTTGCATTATTGTTTTAAACACGCCTGGTTTAACTATATGCTAAAAGGAATAAAAAATATTTAGAGAAAAATATTTAAAGTATTAATAAATTTCCAAACAACTTGGCTTTACACTTACATCTATAATATACTTGGTGACTGATACAGTATCATCGACAACATCAAATGCTCTTAACAATACCAAATATCCATATTCTTCCTTACAAATCTTTGCAACATATTCTCTCATGGATTTCAGCATAGCCTTACGTTCCTACATGAAGAGAATATAAATAAGAATTTTTGATGAATAGTAAATGTTAGAAAACAAAATTTACCTTTACGGTGCCGTGAGAAAAACATAACATTGCTACTTGTGAACCCTCTCGAGTATGTAAAAACATAGAAACATGATCACCAATCACTTCTATTACTTCTCTTATCTTGGAATCGTCCGAATAGGTAAAATATTCTAACAGAATTCGGTGCATAATTACGTAGTTCAATGATTCTGGCTTTTTAATTAGATATTGAATAGCTTGAAAAAGATTTTTAAGAATTTTGTCTTTATTAGAAGGATCCTCAGCAATCAAATCTTTAATATTTAGATCTTCAGTTCTCTAAATGGACAAAAGTAAGAGGTGAACAAGTGGAAAATTTTTAAGTGAAATATAAAATTTATTATTATTATTATTATACCTTAAATAAAGTGAACTCCGGGCCATAAAATTCTTTTAATAAGGACGATCGTTGCTTTACGTTAGAAAGCTCATAAGCCTCAAGAAGAACATTACGTGCCTCCGTATGAAGAAATAATTTTTTAATTTGGCCTTTAAATTCGGTCAAAATTTTACTCCGGTATTCTGGACTAAAAAAAATATATAATTAACTACATGAAGCTTTAAAGATACATCATTAGACATTATTAAAATGGACTTACCAAAAGTTCATTAGCTTACATACAATATATTTTGCATACTTATTTTTTGAAGCCTCAAGTAAATGACCCTCTAATTCACTTGCTATTATATTTCTCTGTTCTTTAGTACCATATTTTAGGCAGGTTTCTATGACACGAGAAGTATCATTTTTAAAAAGAAGTCCAGACACATTTCCACGAACCAACTCAAATAAATGTGAGATGGATTTATTTCGCTCTTCAGGTGTTATGTTTTTTCGACGAGCAATTTCCCACTGCTTCTTGATATCTAACCGGTATTCCGGATCAAGTTTATTGTTGATTCGATTCTGATTGTCAGTTGCTTTGGCATGTCCGGAATCTAAGCATTACCAAATTAATTTTTTTAAGATAATAATAATAACAATAAATAAAAATAAAAAACCTACTAGATCTTTTTCTTTTCTTTGAAGCGGATATTGGCTTCTCCTCGACTTGATCTGAATTTTTATTACCTTCTATATCCTGTCCACCATTAGGAACATCGGAATTTTGCAGCAAGGTAACAATTTCATTTTCAGGTTTTACTTTATCTTTTTCATTTTTTTCAGTTTTCACTGTATCTTTTTTTATTTCTTTGATTACATTCTTATTAGGTTTTTTTGAAGCTTTTTTATTAGTACTTGAATTATTAGAACGACGGAATTTTTTAGAAACATTAGTTGGCTGCTTTTTTGAGGATTTTTTCATTTTTTTTTTTTTTAAACAATAATTAGTGATAATGATTATCTATTATTCAAATTAGATGTGCCGTACAAAAAATGCGCGGATTATCCTCGATTTTGATTGGCCAACAGCTGTGACCGACAAAATTCTGGTTTGCATTATACATAATTTTGGCCGGAATCAATTTTTTTTAATTCCACAATATTTCATCAAAGTTCTATAATTTGATTGGCTGTGGTCACGTGTTTCTGCTCCGCTTTAGACGACCCCAAACTTGTTATCACAATCGAGGATGATTAGGGTTGTTCTACATAAAGTACAATTTTACGTTACATGTAAGTTTCGGAAAATCACGTCATACATAAAGTACCAGATTTACAAAAGTTTCGGTCCGTATTATTGCATCATTTGATTTGAATGTACGGTTCGAATATTTGATCTCAAAAACCAAAATTTCAATTTCAATTTACCAAAAATATCGATTTTCCTATGATTCTATTTTATTGGTTACAAATATGCAATAGTGCGATTAGCGAAATTGTCGGAAGAATGTCACTCGGCACACGGCGGTTGAACCATGGATCAACCGGTTATAATCTGGGTGCTCAACTGGTGGGTAACCACTGTTGATCAGTGGGCAACCCACGGTTACAAATGATAAAGCTATTGAATTGAAAGAAATACTAGTGAAGGTAATATTTATTTATTTTATTATTATACAAGCTATTTATATAGTCGACTTTGGATATAATGAATCTTTATGTACGAGCTCTGGATATAACTAACTCAGAATTTTAAATTTTCATAGTAGTTCGATATGGAAGTGCCATGGGTCCTTAAGAAAACATAGTAATTGTCTATAATGAACTTGTTTTTACTTTCAGAACTGTCAGTTCCATAGAAAGAGTTGACTATATTTTTTTACATATTAATAAAAATAATTGATAAATTTTATTGAAAATCTGGAAACTTTTCTCAGTGAAGAAAATAGTTAAACACGATTGGCCTATTAAAGAAAAAACTGAAAAAAATAGGGATGTTAAGTGGTCCACAGGTAGGGATGGCACATGATTTAAATCACGATGATTTAAATCACCGATTTTTGATTTAAATCAATTTAAAGCTGATTTAA